ATCCATGATCTGCACTCTAATAGAATCCCTCGTAATGTGTGTGACTATTTCTCCTTCCCAGAACACAACTATAACACTAGATTTTCAACTAATTTCTCTCTTCCTAGAAAACAAACTAGCTTGGGACAATCATCTATTGACTACCAGGGAACTATACTTTGGAATAAGTTACCGTCATATTTAAAAAAAAATCACAATCGTGCCTGTTTCAAAAAAGCTTAAAAAATATTGAATAACTGAACGCATGATTTCTGATGTTTTGCTCTCACTCATTCTTCTCCGTTAGATTGTATTAGGATTTGAATTATACTCTTTGTAGATTTCTTATAAAGTTTCATTAATCTCTGTTGCTTTTTATCATGTATGTCACAAATGGTCTTCACAATGCCCTCATCATATATCTTAATAAATATTATCTTCGAGAGATATAAGTACTTAATTTTTATAGTCACATAATACATATACATCAATGTATGATTATGTTAATGATGCAGTAGACGTTTCCAGGAAGTAAAATCAATATTAATTACTAGTATTTTCATAGAAGAATTGTTTTAGACCATATGAGAGCTCATAATTCACATTAATTAAAAATCGATGTTATGTTAGATATAACCTTTACGAGGTCACGTGACTGCTAAGTAAATAAATCCTTCTTTAAAGATATTGGGAGAAAAAAATTCTTTTAATTTTACATTTTCACCAAAAAATGTGTTTGTTTAAAATTTCCGACAGTGACATCTTTAGAAAATAGATTTTTATGTCAATATATATTACATCTACAATCTCTGCAGAAAATTTGATGAGTACCTATTGAGTACATGTAGTACATGTACTAATTTGGTTGATCATTTTGATGTCCGAATTAAAACAAAGAAATAATTTGCATATCAATAGGTGAATAATGGAGTTACTGCAATATTTTTAAATGGCGATGACATCTTCTGTGACCAATGTTTTGACGTCCAGTAAACTGCAGATGGTAGGTAAGCATCAAATATGTTCTAAAACTATTTCATACTTGATTGCGTGATTCATTAATTATATAAAATATATGGGAATGTGTAAATGTAGCCATCACGACAACGCGGGTTTTGACCACTGTTTTAGACGTTTTCCATTTAGGATAGAGCTCTGACATTTTCACAGAATAATCAGATATATTCATAGTTTCTATAAAATATAGTTATATAGTTCCTTTTGAAAAATCTCTACTACATCCTTAAAAACAATATAGTACCGTGACGTAATTTCATGTTCGGTGCCTGGTCTCTTTTGCACAGCAAGCGGGTAAAATTAATGGTTCGTATGCATTATCCCAAAGGTCATACACATTCTTGGACTTTCCGGTAGTACGAATTTGCTATCAATTAGAATTTCTCAATTAATCCACCCCCTCCCTCCCTCACCCCTCCTCCTACCCCATGGATGTGTATGTATGTAATTGTTATTAAATTTGAAAAACAATTTACCTAGCCGAAAAATTTGTGTTTACTAACTATTGGGAATTAGTCCTTGTACACTAGTAATACGACAATAATACTTCCACAAAGTGCCCGGATGTGTGACCTTTAGAGGTCATGCACAAATCTTACTCTCATACTTACCGGCATTGCAATCACAGTATTTGATGATAAATGTGAGTATTTATCTCAGCCACAAATCCCCTTTACCTTGAACACAGAAGTGTGGTGATTGTGCGCACGTTGTCGAATGTAGAATCGTCGTCACCAACTGACATTACAGGTATGACACATCTTATACTCTGTGCTGGTTGAAAAGACTATTTTAAAACTCTGCCTATCAGTCATATAATGAACACTTATGCAAATTGTACTGTGTAACCCTCGACTCGTGTCGTGCAGGTGCTAAGCTTTATTAGTTTACGCGGGACACTGTCTTGAAATAGGGGTATTTTTAACAATTAGAGCAAATGACATGGTAGTTATTGACTTCACTGCACTGCCGCTGGTATTTGACCTATGACACAAACGACAGACTATTTTTGTTAAACTGTTGCTGTTTTTAAATATAACATCAACAGTGACTTGTCAATCAAAGAGCAACGCAAACAAACTTTCAGGACTTTTAATCACATACGCGTGCCACAGTTCTCTATATTTTAAAATTGATTTTTGAGTATGTTCCAACAATGACAATACTATCTAACCAAGACTGTCTGGGTAAGAAAAAGCAAAAAAAATCACTCTGAGCCCACGAACTTGCATCTCTACCTTAAATATATTTGTTTTTTTGTTAATTTTAACTTTATTTAATCGAAATTTAAAAAGAATATGTTTTAATATAATATTAATAAAAATAACAAATATTTACTTTGTTTTTTGTTGAATGTGTTTATTGTGTAAATTTGCCATTTATTCTATTCATACATATTTAATATGGTCTAACATTTTTTTCTAACAGCTATGTCGCCCTGCTAGATTGGACCTCCTACATATAGGTTGCTGCCGCATGTCTGGTATCCGTGATTCGAAATGTCCGGCAAGCCACCATTTTGTTTGTGTTTACTGTGAGCTTGTTTCTTTGACATATTATTTCATTTTCTTTTCTTCTAGGATCGAGTGTAAAATGTAACACTGTATACATACGATAAACCAATTATACTCTACGTCGTGTCGGTGTCTCACCTGTTATATTGTCTTTGTATTGCAGTGCTGCTCTTAACAATATTTACTTGAAGTTATGTTGCAGGGTACCCATTGCTATCCAAGCAATGACGAGGGGCTGGAACCTGGTTTATGATTAAATAGGGGTCACAGTATGAGGATTTGCGTCAACATCAAACGACCTTATTTTTGTTCCGGGGTACTGAAACAATACGCAGTTTTGTTATGATTTTTCATCTATCGAATACTGATGTGTGTCCTGCAAACGCAACATTTCTAGTTTGTGAATAGTCAGAAGTCATAATCCGAATTGGATATCTTTAATACATTATATATATGTTGATGTAGGTGTGTGCTCTGTTCGGGTCGTGTTTCGTTCCAAGGTTATCAACTCATTAATCGACTATGAGGAGCTGTTTATTTATGTACACGAATTAGGTATACAATGATGTAATAGATCATCGTATTGTAATAGAATATTGTATACGTTTTGCACATTATCATATATTTATTCTATTCGTTATGTAATTTATAGATGAGTATTCCACCCACGTCATTGGACAATCGTAGCACTCACCAGGTTATATTTATGTATATATAATTGCACGATATAATATTCAATATCGGCTCTATCACTAACGATATAATATTCAATATCGGCTCTATCACTAACGATATAATATTCAATATCGGCTCTATCACTAACGATATAATATTCAATATCGGCTCTATCACTAACGATATAATATTCAATATCGGCTCTATCACTAACGATATAATATTCAATATCGGCTCTATCACTAACGATATAATATTCAATATCGGCTCTATCACTAACGATATAATATTCAATATCGGCTCTATCACTAACGATGTCAAAAGCAGCAAGTTTTATTGTATAGGGAATTGTGTATTAAACGCAATCGTATTCTTTGGCATTTATTCAATATATCTGGACGTTTTGGGCACTTTTTAGCCTACATGAATAGTTGGTTTTATTTACCAAGGACTACGACTAGGTACTATCATATTCTATAAATCATACTACACGTATATATACATACATACACACATTTAATTTAACGTCAGATTATATTAGTTTAACAATGTATGAAATGCCACAAAAATGTACCACACTTTTATACCTATAACAAATATAACACTTTCTATACTGTTCACCATGATATTTTATACAAATTAGGGACATGTTTAATCAGAATCTAAAATAAAAAATATGACCTGGCTCCCCGTATGTGTGTATTCCGTTGTTATTTTTGTTGTTGATATGAAATATCATATAATGGAAAAGATCCCCCGCCGAATCGCCCTATATTATCATGGTTACGAGTAACCGTGATATAACCTACATAACGTTGTAAAATTCTAGTTCTATAGAATAAAATATAAAAAAAACTGCTGAAAATATTGCCTCAATATTGTGTTTGTTCGATTAACTATTAACAATTGTCATTAAATATGATGTTCATTTATGTATTCGCGTCTGTCACTACGGTAACGGCCTCAGTCGTCGCTGGTGGCGTAGTCGCGGTGACGGGCTGTTCCGCGGTGGGTGCCGGGTACCCGGGTTGCGGCGGTGGAGGATACGTATATGTCGGTTGAACCCCGGTACCATCCGTCGTCGGCGGTGGAGTATACGTATATGCCGGTAGAACCCCGGTACCCTCCGTTGTGGGCGGTGGAGGATACGTATATGCCGATGGCACCCCGGTAGCACCCGTCGTCGTTGGCGGTGGTGGTTGGTATGGATAATAAGCGGCGGGTTGTGGCTGACCTGCAGGTGGTTGGGTGTATGGGTATGTGTACGGGTACGGTTGTGCCCCTGGTTGCGTAGTAGGTGGTGGGTAAGTCCCTGCTGGGTAGCGGTAGTAGCCGGACGGTGGAGGGTAATGGTATGGATAACCTGCAACAAAATAAAAGTATCATCTTTTTTACAAATTAAATAATACAATAAATAATCGCTTCCGTATTAGAAATAAACAGTAGTATTTCATGCTACTAGTATTAACGTTTTATTGGAGTGTTTACAATATACTATACTATACTATATATGTTATTTAGTTAGGTCTTCTTTTTAATACCGTCGCGTACTGCGCATATACTGGACATATCATTCTACGTTAATTACCTGCTGGCGGTGTCGCTGGTGGCGCCTTTTCTTTTTTCTCGTCGTCGCTGTCGCTGTCCGAGTTTTTCTATTCATGAGAAAATACAATTTAAATAATTTAGTACAATATTCCACAAAATCTATAATTTATAATAATCTGACAATTCAGCAACTTACATTGACAACGTATACAACTTCCTTGGTGTGAGTGTTTGTCGTGGGTTGTGATTTTGATGCTGAGGACGCGGCGGACCCAATCACAGCTCCGGCAGCCACGGCGGTTGCGGTTCGTGCAACTGGAGCAGGGCGTCGTCTGTTTACTACCACGGTCGTGTGACCTCTACCCTGGAGTCGGAAACAAATAGTATTAGTAATTATTATTATGAATGTATTTGTTTGTTTGTTATGCATTCGCATTTTTCAAGATATCTTAAAATCACAATCCGCTCCGGTATTATGTCAATATATCTATCGAATTTCCGTTATTGTTTTTGACAAGATAAGTACAATTCGCTTTTTGGAAAATAATCGTAATATTTTTTAGTGATTTTAGAAACCAAAAGAAGAACTGGATCCATGTTTTAAGTAACTTGCTGCGTGTATAAAATAAAGCCGTGTGTATTTGAGGGTTTACAGAAACGTCACCCAATATATGGCGACACATTGCCGTACTTCGTCTTAAGGGATCGACTAATACAATTAACCCTGTAAACTTCGGGAAACTATTATATTGATATCTGCATGAAACTAACTTACCCTTGGCATGATGGAAACAGGCTTATGGCAAAGCTTTTCTTTCTTGATTCAAGATGGTTCACTGCAACGTTTTCCAGTATACTACTGCTATGTTAAATTGACACCGATTGCTGCGTAATAGGTTCGTCGCTAGATTAACACGCAATGGAGATTGCTAGGACTGATCGCATTTGCTTGACGTCATCTGTCTAATTATCTTTTATTTATTCACAAAACGCCCGCATTTTCCCGTGATCTATTTTGGCTTGTCCCATCATCTAATCTAGTGGTAGTATAGTATGCAAATCGCCGACCTTTACCCCATGTTAACTTCTCAATTTTGATGATGACCATTACCATATTTAGCTGCTGATTGCATTGCTGGAATCACCTGTGTACGATGACGTCATGGTTTCAACAGGCCCTATGATTGATTCGTGGTCGATGTGTTCGTTTCAAATGTATAACGAACTAGATTGTTTACAAAAACCCTTAGTGTAATATTAGAAGCTGACCATTCGAAACTTACGGAGAGTATACAATAATAAATTCCCTAACGGGAAAGTGGCATGTATTGTACGTCGTTATGTTATATATGTTTTTTATGTTTTTTTTTTACTATATTATTAAAAAAATATGAGCTCAATGGAGCCTTTATTCTTTGTATATTTCGTACATTAGATACCCCCGCATATAGACTAGGCGTACAATTGATAATGTAGTGCCTGGGCTTCCTGTGCCTATACCAGTCAAGTGACCCGGTGACGTGCACGCGAAAACAATCAATTTCAGCTATCCAATTGCGTACACACCCATGTACTACGAGGTGCTCCTGCTCTACAATGTTTACGTACCAGCAACTTTTACTGGAATTTGATTGGCCACGTCGTCAGCATCCTCGTAAATCAAGTTATCGGCGCAACTTACTAGGCAACGTCACTGCGCGACAGAACCGTGACATATCCCACCACACTATTATGCTGCATCCTTGCTCGTCTTTTTTGAGCGTACCCCAAGGAGAGTATATTTTGCATTGACCTTCTCTGACATGCATCGTGCAAGTACAGAAAAAACACAAGCACTACACTAAAATCGTTTTCAGCCATGTTGTCTTCATACTTAGTAATTGAGAGCGATGTTCCGTTCGGCTCTGAATGCTGGACGAACGGCCCGACCGTGTAAACGCATTTGAGATAATCTGTTAATTGGAGAGAGGAGCAGTGGCTCGGCTCCAATAGAATGCTGTCGTGTAAACGTAGTAAAAGTAAAATAAAAATAAGACATACTAATTTTCTAAGTAACTAAAAAATGGTGTCCTGTGATTGCACGATGGTGTATCGCCGGCTACTCTGGTCAGTTTTAGTATCCGAGATTGATAGCTTGAAGTCCAAGTTTAATGCAGCGTAAGAACGCGCGTTATTTGTAACCTAACATTTGTTGGAAGAGGTCGGGAGCCCTCAGATCTGCAAAATTAAAACCTTATGAATTAATGCTTTTACAGTATATGTATATAACGTCGTGAAACAAACATATGTTGGGCCATAGATTTTAGTGAGTGATACTGCGAACACCAAGCCACATCAGGAGAAGGTCGGCATAGTCACAGTCACAGAAATGACTCGTTTGTATGTCTCTGGTTGCTACGTTACGGAGCGCGCTTCCAAGACAGAACACTATATGTTGTCCCAGAGATAATCCAGCGTCATTTAACATCATTTTACTCAGTTTTCAAAGGTAACTTTGGTGGCTGCAATACGCAATCAACATGCTCGGCATGAAACGATGATATGAAGACCCGTCTAAAGCATACGGTGACCAGACATGCATCAACGTCGATCTTTCGCGCATACGGTAACTAAGCAACCATATATTTCAGCATTCATTATCATGTCTAGAATGTAGAAAAAAACAACTTTAAATTAAAACTTCCATACCTCATCTCAAATCACATGACAATACGAAAAGTCAGATGCAACAACGATTTAATTACTGTGCGTAATTACATAACACTCTAGTAGACAATTATTCATAGTTCTTTGTAACCTGATAGCTATTTTTATACATACACCATTATAGATAATAAATAAAATGTTTCCCTCCCATAACTAATATTGAATAAAGGGATATTCTCTTCCAGTAACTGTACACTCTTGAGACTTAGTGGCTTTCTGAGATGGATTTCACTCTCATTATAGCGTCAGTCTTGTTTATCTGTTGACGTTTTGATTTCTGAAATATTCTTAAAAGGTATTATTTGGTGAAAATGTGTATTGCATTTTAATATGTGGTGATATTATTCAGTAATCAGAAAATTGCATTTGTGGTTGTAATTCCCGAAAATTGTTCTATTCTAAAATGAATCTGTTGTTTCCTGGCTTTGTCATCCTTTGGAGGGCACGTGATTACATGTTATATATACATTATTGACTTAGCAATTTAATTTGTTTCAGCATAAAAATTAGTCACTAACATGTCAACACATGAATAATACTATAACAATAAACCGTTTTTTTTTTTTTTTATCTCAACATACATCGTCATCACCAGGAGAGTGATCTAGAAAATATACCTGATTTAAACCTAGCTAAAAATTTGAATTATTTGCCAAACAATATTATACTGATTATGTTATACTTGTCGAGTTGTATTATTGAATTTTACAAGGTCCGCTTATTACGGAAATTTCCAGATAGTGACTGCTGATTGAAATCAATGAACTTAATATAAATTTATTTAATACTACGGCGGATCATATATTTATTTAATATACTACGGCGGATCATATATTTATTTAATATACTACGGCGGATCATATATTTATACTTTATGATCTATAATACGATAATCATTAATGGATGCATATAACTTAATGATTTCTTTCAAAATAGCGGTAACTGTAGTCCCGTCCGAGTCTTTCTAATAACCTATAAGAAAAAAGAAATAAAAAAAAATGTCACAATTCTTTATAGTCGATACCGTGAAATACATGCTTCAAAGTAAGGTCTGTGAAGCTAATTTAAAGCAAAAGGCGCTGAACATTGGGCCTTCATTTGCATATTTGATTTCCACTCATGCGTAGTGCTCATATTATTGTAGCTAATTGTGGTAAGTTATTTCTGCGATTGCCTCTTTCCCTTTTTTTTGAGAAATAGTCATTTATGATATCATAGCAACCTTTGATAGTTTCTACTACAAAAATGCAATATTGGTATCTGTAGTTTGTGACAAGAGCGAGACTGTGAATTTAAAAAAAAAAATATTGACGAAACGTTGGGAAGGAACTACAAAACAACTTAATAGACGTGATGTTGCGATACCAATATATATATTTGAAAAAAAAGAAAACATTTTATCAAAAATCAGTGCATGGAAAGGGTTTGACAGAGCACTCATATGTACCATTCAAGTGACCCGGAACGTGTACGCGAAAAAGAAAATATTTCAGCTCTCAACTACGAAGTGCTCCTGCTCTAACTCACAATGTTTACGTACCAGCAACTTGTACTGGAATTTGATTGGTCACATAGTCAGCATCCTCGTACATCAAGTCATCGGCGCAACTTAGGCAACGTGACTGCGCGACAAAACCGTGGCAGCTCCCACCACGCTGTAAGTGCAACGCCATAGAGTTAGTTCAACACAATTCAGCATACTAGTATTAATTTACTTGATTAAAATTATTACAAAGTAAAACAAAAATAAGGCAGATTAATATTCCAAGCAACTAAACAATGGTGTTCCGTGGTAGCATGATGGCGAGGGGGGCGAGATCTGCTCACCAGCACGACCTTACTAGGGGATCCGGGGGCATGTTCCTCGGGAAAATTTCTGAAATCTAAATCCTCTGAAACGCTATATCCTAAATGTGTCGCATCAACACAAATACACAAAGAGTTTCAGCTTGATTTTTTAGGGGGCGATGCCCCCTCCCCGTGTCGCTGCCACTGCGATCCAATTCCAAGCTTATTGCAGCTTAACACATGGCCAACAGCCCTCGACCAATCATAGTCGCGATAAAGTGTGGTTCTTTCTCCACGAATTCACTTAGATCACGGCTGAAAAAACGCAAGAAAACACAAGTTTGATTGCCGTCAAAATTTCATTTTGATTGGCTAATACGGCCTTATTTTCAAAGTTACTTTATGTATACGCAACTTTTTTGTTACAACTCCCGGTATCATGATTGCTCCGCGATTGTGATGGACATCATTGTGCATTGAACAAAGTTATAAAGTGAGGGTTCAATAAGAAAATGCAGTGCACCTCAAGTCCGTATATATTTATTTATTTATTTATTTATTTATTTATTTATTTATTTATTTATTTATTTATTTATTTATTTATTTATTTATTTATTTATTTATTTATTTATTTATTTATTTATTTATTTATTTATTTATTTATTTATTTATTTATTTATTTATTTATTTATTTATTTATTTATTTATTTATTTGTTTTTCTTTGTTATCATCCCTCCCCAATAAGATACCATTCTAGAATGTACTCTAATTTATATTACCATGTGAGCAGTTAGCTTGAGAATCGAACCAACAACTTCCCCGAGGCGCGTATCATTGTATCACACACAGGTACCGCAGATTATAAAAATGTTATTAAAAAGAGAAAGGAGAGCTGTTCTTTTCTCAAATACAGTAGTCTGGAATGACAGAGTGAGTCTCTTTAAATTATAGAAATAACTATATAAACTGGATAACGACGCATGATGCAAAGAAACAAACGATTATGTGGCACTTTATCTGTGGTTATTATATTTTAATAAGTCACTAAATCCTCCATGTAATGACAAATCAGTTTTAACTGATGAAATCAACTCTAAGTTAGACAAGATGGAAAGTAATGTGACTGACAATCATAATATCGTCAATGGTCTAACCCTAATTTTATAAAAATACTCAAACATAGACATATGTTTTGCTCCCAAAGCATTACGTATTTACCTGTTTAGAGTTTTAGCTTGACTGTGAACACTGTGAAGTTGGTTCTCAACAATCGTGATTTGTTTGAACGCTAAACCTTTAGCATAATTCGTTCCACATTGTAATCAAACGCCTGGTCATAAAGAGGTGGCAACAACTTTACGATATTAGCCCAACTGGTAAAAAACGACCCAAAGTAGAAACCAGATGTAGAATAAAGTCCATTTCTGTTTTTTGTTTTTATAGAAAACATGAAGTGATTCAAATGTACGAGGCATTTACACCAATTTTAATTTACAGTTCTTTTACACCAATTTTAATTTACAGTTCATTTACATTTTAAACGTTTGTTAAGTGTTTAACATTTTCAATTAACTATTAGAATTTTTAAGTGAATAACCAATTTTTTTTTCATGCAAAAATAGTCGTGGTAATTCAATAATTACCGTATGTACGGCTAGGGAGATCGCCGCCCCTATATTGTGTTACCCCTGATCCTGCTACAAACTATGCCTCGTGAATATTGAATTGCCGAAATAGCTGTTTTGGGGGGGAAGAGTCCTTGGATATTTTGTTTATTTTAGATCAAAATCAAAGAGTGGCACATATACAAATTAAACAAAATAAGCGAGTTAGACGAGAAATACAACACTTACCCCTCCTCGCAGTCGCCCCCTCCCACGGTTTACTGTTGCTCCTCTTCCACGACCTCTCGCTTGACTACCCCGTCCGCGTCCCCTTCCACGTCCACAGCTGCTCAGATATTCGGTATCGAACCCCAAATCGTTGAAATCTTCCATATTTAAAGCGGTACTATGCTGGCTAGTGATACCACGTTTGCTCAATTGTAGTTCGAGTCGCTAGGGGCAGCTTTATGTCTCCTATTCGACAATGTTCTCATATTTATACTACGTCGGATGTTGTAACAATGGATCGCACCCCGTGGAACTAATTTAACCACTTCTATAGAAATAAAATAGCTCCATCATCTTAATTCTAAAATTACTAAAATTACACTTTCCCAGTGACATTTTCGTTGAATCTTCGGAATACATGCGTTTTCTTCCCATAATGCCCAATACAAAGATTTCGTAAAAGCTACGTGGACATGGGAAGCTATTGTTACAATAATGACATCACGTACGCACATTTGGTTCACACGCCGTTGAGTATTGTTTAGAATCAACAATTTATATGTTTAGGATAGACATTGTGTACTAATTGTTTTTAGTAGTGGCAACATCGCAAGGTTATAACCATGAGACATATTCCTGGTCAAATCTGGTATCTCTACGTATAGGTATCATCTGTACGCTCGCCAGAGTCCCCACACCTCGCGGCACTATACTGGTAATCAGTTACTGCGTGGTGTAGCGGAAGTACGAAAAATTTACTAGTTCTAAGACGCCGTATTTGACGTGATTTCTAAGATATTTAGTAATTATATATCATGTTCCCTGTCATGTTAGGAAAGTTATTAACGGTGCTCGATAAAGCCCGACACATCGCCAGTGTGCCCAGAAGGATATCGTTTTAGAAAGATTGACTAGACTGAACTGTAATTTTTCCCACGTTATAAGTAAACTTAGTAATTAATAATCTTGTTTGCGTCCTGAACTTATTCGTCATTTTTGTTGAAATCGATCAAATTAATATATTGCCGGGAGGTCGTTGGTGAGTTGATTGGAGGAAGTATGAGACATTGTGGGCGTGCATAATCAGGCAATGAGTGGTAAATATGAAAATTATGATTACGAATCTGTATACGTGAAAGCTGTGCCGTGAAATTCATTTGCAACAGTTGAGATACCAAAATAAATAAATAAATGCACGCATGTAAGACACCAAGTCGCTGATATTTACAACCTTACAGTGATAATTTGCTGGAAAACAGGTTTAAAACGTATATCAATGTTTTGAATACGGGTTCACTCCAACCTAACCATTTTTTTGCCTACTAATTTTGTGTTTGTTAGGATTGAGCAATTTGTGTGTTTATTTTTTCTGTTTTTTTTTTAACAACTTTTGTATATTGTTTTTCACTTTTAGGTTGTTTTTTTGACAAAGAACGCCACCATTGCTAACACGGAGTCTGTATAAGTATTAATTTTGTGAAATTTTCAAAACGTCTAAGTGCCGGTGGAGATACTGATATGATAAATTAATTTCTTTGTAGCGGAGAAAGAGATTAATATTTGTCTGAACACTGAGATAGCTTATAAATATAGACTATAGTCGCAGTAACCAAGGTTACGCCGTAACAGAGATAACAACATTGTGTATTGTTCACAGAAGTAGTGTAATTTCAATCCTTCCATTCCATATAACAGGATATGACGTCACGTAAAATGATCGGTTGACGTGATCGAAGAAACGGTTGGGGGTACAATCTAAGCGATGCGTTGTACGACATGCATTGTACGCAGCATGGCGCAAACAGTTTTGATTATCGCAATTTATTTACACTTGATATTATAACAATTATTAGAGATTTTCTTAAAATTGGGAAAGTGATTGCATATCTCCTATCCTCGCTTTAATGGGATAATGACACCAATCTAATCACTAAGCTAGTCATGATCAAGTTTAACTGATCTGTGCTGACGTCATTTATCGTTCACATTTCTAAATTTAATAAGTGCCCCTTTCCCTCTACACAATTTCATTCTTCGTTCATTGTGACTTCTATTTTGCACCTACATGTGATATAGTTATTTTAGACAACGGACATAAGTCGACATTGACTACTTTTAATCAAAAGCAATACAGAACAGACTCATGACCAATTCATCACGACCAGCATAAATAGTAGAGCTTTACTGAAAGGCTAAACTTGTACAATAAATTGTTGAACAAAAAATATTTTTGCTGAAAGATAAATCTCTTGGTCATTCGCGTGAAAGTATCATTCACTGGCAGTGCGTGACAGTAAGTTTGCAATGAAAGTACATAATAGATGATAACGTCAGGTACTAGTAATTGAGATATCTAGCACCCCCTCTACAGTCGAAGCAATTCTGTGACGTAAATGGTTGAAAGAAACAGATATCAGCGTCGCTATTGTTGGATCTGTTGGCATTCTTCATTTTTGAAAGGTTTGAACGCAATGTGCGCTAAATACCGATTTTGACTCTTATAAACGTAACAAATTGTCCAATATAAATAACAATATAAGGTATTCATATATTACGTGACTTGTCGAAATCGAATATATTTTTAATTTCGCACTGTTGTTACCATGCTGTTACTTGTGAAGACAGGAGTAAGATAGAGATGCTACTGTCACCGTTTCTTTTCCTCCTGGTTATTGAAAGGGGAGAACAATATGATTCATTGGACACTCTGGACACAGCTAGATGACCAAGACTTTGCCGATGACCTGGCGCTTCTCTCACACAACCACAAACATATGCAAGATAAAACAGCTCATCTGGATACAACGTCAATCAGCACAGGACTCAAGATCAGTAGAAAGAAGACCGAACTCATGAAAATCAACACTACAGACAGTACACCAGTCACGTTTGGATGGGATGAAGTGAAGGAGATAGAGTCCTTTGTATACTGTACGTGGGAAGTGTGGTAGACCAACAAGTGGGCACGGATAAGGATGTTACAGCCAGGATAGGGAAACCAAAGGGCAAGCGAAAGAGGGGAAGGCCTAAGAACATCTGGAGAAGGGACACTGAGGCAGAGATGAGGAGCATCAGTAACAGCTGGCATGACCTGAGAAAGAAGGCCCAGAGACGAGTACAGTGGAGGACGATCATCGGTGACCTGTTGTTACCATGGTTACCACTAATTAACACAAACCAAGGTTGGCAGCGTGCTCCTTTGCTTTCATTCGCAACTGTGCGATACTGGAGCTTCTGATTTCATCTAGACCGTGGAAGAAATGACCCGTTAGAATTGAACTGGATGGTGTCGACATGGTGTCCTTTTCCGTCTTGACGGATGGTGGCGCTGTCTTTGTCGTTATCAATTCCGTCGCCGAGTTCTTCGTTGCATCCCATCCAGTTGAAATGGCGTTAGTTTGGTCATGTGCCGAATTATTTTTGCTGATTGAAGGGGTCATCCGCCGACTACTTTCACCGTTATACACTGTAATGAACACAGGAAATAGAAACAGATCATGATGATTTCAATTTTAATCTAATCTAATCTAATCTAATCTAATCTAATCTAATCTAATCTAATCTAATCTAACTGTGGATCTTACCTTCGTTTTCTTCGACTTGTGGTGAACTCTTAACTGTTACTTCCCGAACTTGTTTCCTCCACTTTGCTCTCCTATTTTGGAACCACACCTAGGATCGAATAATGAAACCAAGATACTGAGCAACAGTTGAATATGTATCATACAGTTTCTCGAGAATACGATTCTTAATACATTTTCACGATAAGCTATTCGTGTATTGCATAGCAGTCATGCATGGAGCGTTCTAATTTTTTGTAGACGAACAATTTGTTGTGATATATTCATCGTCTATAGCATTACGGCTGTATAAACGGTAATCGACCCGACATGGATGCATATTCATATTTCACCGGCATTCCCTAAACCAATTTTTATGAAATTTGAAATGTTATGCTACAGGGAAATAACAGATAATAAATATAAACGACTGAGATGCATGGGCAACTTTCATTCAAATTAGAGTATCCAATAAATAGCTGTACGTATGTGCTTTGAAATCAGTCTACTAATTCATAGTGATACAAAACTGTTGAAAATTGGGGAAATTTGATACCTAACATAATTATTTTCCTTCAAAAAATAAGCAGCACCCCACAGCTCCTAGCAGTACTTGTGTTTACTCTGCCACGCCTCCCACAGCTCCTAACAGTACATGTACATGTGTTTACTCTGCCACGCCTTAGAAACTTGGCTTTTAATATAGGGAGTTTGTAACCTTTTGTAAGAGAAGGGAGATGGAGAAGCAGGTAAGAACTGTACAGCGAGGGGTTACCTGAATAAAGCTGGACTATCTGTAATGAACTAATGTGTATTCATTTGGGATATCTACGTGTAAGTGATATAAGCCAAGCGAGACGAAGATCCCGATCCCCAAACAGGAAGCCGAGTGTTCATAACAGTACAATCAGTTATCAAACCTAAAATCTTCGTTTAGGAAATGCTTAATAATTCATCTGCAGTTTTTTACGAGTTTAACTGTCGATTTATTTAATAAAATAATATCTAATGTTGTTAATCTAAAAAGAGGGTCGGCAAGGGGTATTTTCGTAATAATGTAATTTAAATACTAGTAAATAAAATACGTAATTTCGTGGACATAGGCAAAGTGTAAAATGTAATCAGCTATTTTATTCTTCCGTAATTCGTACAAAGATCTTATTTTTTGTAAGTGTAAAGAGCATTTTT